TCTTTCTTTCTTTCTTTCTTTCTTTCTTTCTTTCTTTCTTTCTTTCTTTCTTTCTTTCTTTCTTTTTTCTTTCCTTCCTCCCTTCCCTTCCTTTCCTTCCTTCCTTCCCTTCCCTTCCCTTCCCTTCCCTTCCCTTCCCTTCCCTTCCTTTCCTTTCCTTTCCCTTCCTTCCGGAAGGCCTACACCAGCCTGCAGGACCAAAAGCTCAGCTTGAATTAACTCCTTAAATTGTATTTAGAGAAACAAACCCAGTTCTTTTCACAGTTTTGGGAAGTTTTCCGCATGGGAACTGTATGGACCTGCAAAGGGCAGGCCCTGAGACTGAACCGTGGGCACTTTCCAGGCCCTAACAGATGGCATTCTTTAATCGAAGAAGCAGAGGTGGGTTGCTGCAGGTTCAGACAGGTTTTCCCAAATGCCTTGTTCTGATTCTGTGCGGTTCGGAGAACCAGCAAATCAGACCACCAGCCGGCCCTGGGCCCGCCTGTTTTTGCGGCCATTTTTGGCTGTTTTTTTGGGCAGAAAACGGCCTGAAAACAGCCCAAAAAACAACCTGAAAATGGCCTGGATAAACAGCCAGAAAAGAGCCTGAAAAATAGCCTGTTTGGGGGGGCTTTTTTCAGGCCATTTTTGGGACCATTTTTCCGGCCAGAATCAGTCTTAAAACGGTCTGAAAAATGCCCTGAAAATGCCCCAAAAAGGGCCTGAAAATGGCCCCAAACTAGGTGGGGGTAGGGCCAGCCCGTGATGGGATTCGTCCCAACCACCTGAATCCTACCTGTTCCTTTGAGGCGAGTGGCTGAGAGGTGGGTGTGATGAGTGACATCACCCACTCAGTCACATGACCAACCGGCCACGCCCACCCAGCCAGTGGTTCAAAAATTTGACTCAAAAATTTGCAGCCCACCACCGAGTCCTGGAGCAGCCCCTTTCCCCACCTCGCTGGCCAGACGCCTCTTCTCCTCTGCCAAGAGGAAAAGCCCCCAAGCCCCCCTGCTGCTGCCCAAGAAGCCGACTGTGAGCCGAGATTCCAGCTCTCCAGGGCTTCTCCGCTGACAGTGAACTTGCCCTTCCTCCTCCTCCTCCTCCCTTGGTCTTAAAAAAAGAGACACAGAGGAGACCAGACCTGCTTGCTGTTGCCCCCAGGCAGAGCGATGGCCTTCAGCAGCTCCGGCTGCCGGGATTTCCTCCTCTGAATCACCTTCATGCAGCCGTCCACGTCAATATGGAGGAGCTGAGAGAAACAGAGGGAGGAGGGGTGAGTGAGGCTCACTGAGGCTCCGTTGTGGGAAGATACAAATTCTAGGGCTGGACGATCCCAGCAAACCTGGATGGAGCTCCTCTGGACCCCTTTGACTCCACCCCCCTCCTGGACTGAAACAACCGGTTCCCCCCCGTCTCCCCAAGGACGCCTGACTGGAGGCCACTTGGCTGCAGCCTAGGAAAGGCGCATGGGGCTGGCGATCTTCACCAGGCCAGTGCCACCCACCTGAATCAGGAACGTGAACAAAGGTGTGCTGGTGAGCTGGCTCGTCTGCAGCTGCCTGAAGATCATGTCCGCTGGAAGGAGAAAGAGAAAGAGGGTCTCAAACCAGGGGTGGGATTCTACCGGTTCGCACCTATTCGCTAGAACCGGTTGTTACCATTCTAAGCCGTTCGGAGAACCGGTTGTTAGAAGAAATTACAGGGCTAATCCTGTAAGGAAGGCAGGAAGGAAACATTCTGGTGTTGCTTACAGAAACTGCCTCTCCGTTGACCCTCATTACATTCTTGGCAGGACTCAACTTCCTGTCTCTGGAACTTCTCTGGAGGTTGTTTTCCCTCCTTTGCTGGTACTTTGCTTGTGTGGAGTGACCATTCAAAGTTACAATGGCACTGACAAAAGTGACTTATGACCATTTTCCTTCCTTCCTTCCTTCCTTCCTTTCCTTTCCTTTCCTTTCTTCCTTCCTTCTTATTCTGATCTCCTTCCTTTCTTCCTTCCTTCCCTCCTTCCTTCCTTTCCTTCCTTCCTTCCCTTTCCTCCTTCCTTCTTATTCTGATCTCCTTCCTTCCTTCCTTCCTTCCTTCCTTCCTTCCTTCCTTCCTTCCTTCCCTCTTAGTCTGATCTCCTTCCTTCCTTTCTTCCTCCCTCCCTCCCTCCCTTCCTTCCTTCCTTTCCTTGAGCCACGGTGGCACAGCGGTTAGAATGCGGTACTGCAGTCTCCTTCTGCTTCCTGTCATTCCCAGGTGGGTCAAATGAGGAGCCAGATTGTTGGGGGCCAGAGGCTGACTCTGTAAACTGCTTAGAGAGGGCTGGAAAGCCCTGGGAAGCAGTATAGAAGTCTAAGGGCGATGGCTATCTTGCCGTCCCAAGTGGCATCTTCCTAACACGGTTCAAGAGGGGAGCCCGAGATTCCCAAGAACTGTCCTGCAGGGATATTTTCACAGGGATTTCTTCACCGAGGAGGGCACTGGACTTGATGGCCTTACGATCCTCTCTAAACTGGCCCTTCTAGGCTTCCTTAAAGCAAGACAGGCTGCCGCTTGGATCGCAGGTACCTTTTGACTTGCGGGAAGCCGCCTCCTTCATCCGGAGGGCCCACTCCTGCACCATGTTCCCAGCCCAGGGCGTGACTGCCAGCATCAATCTCCGGTTGAGGGTCGTCTTCCCTATCCCGTCCCTCTGCCGCCTGGCTCCATTCGTCACACCGGCCAGCAGGGTCAACTGGGAGCCTCTGGGGCCAGCAGAGGAGCTGGAGGCAAAGCGTTTCTTTCTTCTGATTTCCCTCTGGGAAAGGAACAGAGAATAAGCCACGTTTCCGCAGGGAGGTTTCACGGGGTTCATCCGCTGAAGGTCAGGCCTTATGAGGACGTCGTGTCAGATCCGTGGATCTGCCATTTTTCAATGGGAGAAGAAGGAGGGGGGAGGGGTGGATACAAGTAATCCTTTTGGATGTAACCTGCCTATCCTAATTCTTGTCCTGAATCTGTAGGACCTTTACACGATTTACAACTGTGGACTGGAGCCCCACCGCCCCCACCCCCAATGCCTGGAAGCCTGTCTCCTCTTGGAGAGATAGCAAGAGGAAAAGGGACCATAAAAATTCCAGCTCCTGGATAGAATTGGTATGATTATATGATTTGTTATAGAATAAATTATTTAAATTATAGTTATCTCATAAGGCATGAATGAATATGATTCAAAAAATCAAATGATTTTTTTTTAATAATGATATGAGGGTATATAAGTTTGGATTGATAATAAGAGTTATTATGTAATATAACTGTAATTGAGACTACGAAATGAATGCACAAAACTGATGAACCAACCGACACACTGTTTGTATATAAGTATGGAAGAGAGCTGATGCTTTTATGTTTTGTCTGTTTTTGTTTGTTTGTTAAAAAAACAATAAAATTGTTTGTTTGTTTTTTTAAAAAAATTCCAGCTCCAAAAGAAAAATTCCTGGGAATCTGTTCTCAACTACGTTCCCGGAAAAGGGGTGGGTGGGGGGAATTAACATGTTGCTTCTTTGTATTGACAAAATCCACACCGGACTAAGGGGAGGCGTTCTAACTCCCTTTATCTAAGCTGCAGGCCTGGAAGGATATCAGATCCTGCTTGGAATGTGGACAGGCTGTCTTCCTTTTCAATCAAGACTTCATTTTGAAATGCCGTTTTCAAAAGTTCCTTCTTGTCCTCCGAGTGGGGAGAGAGTCTGGGCCTTACACCTCATTCCAGGAACCTTGAGGGGTGAAGTCACACAAGCCATCCAGCTGAATTGCAGCCTTTCCTTCCCCAAGGAAACCCCATTTTAAATCCGGTCCCCCAAAGCCCAAACCCATTTATAGAAGTTGGGGGAGGAGAAACAATCCCTCCGGTGGGAACAGATGTACAGAAAGTCCTCGATGTATGACGGTGAAGGAGCCCGACCATTATGATCGTATGTTGTGATCACTAAAACAGGTCAGTTGCATGATTTTACAGCTGTCCCAAAGGTGCTTTTTCAAGAGGCAACTGGACTTTTCTTGGGGTTTTTTTTTTTTTTTGGAAGGCGTTTCGCTTCTCATCTAAGAAGCTTCTTCAGCTCGGACTGGATGGCGGGGAATGGAAGGATTTATACTCCTTGCAGACAGCTGGTCATTTGCATCCTTTGAGAGGGTCACTGAAGCCCTGGGACAACCATGAACTGAATGACTGAGAACCTCTACAGACTTTTTAACTATACAATTTGGAATGGACACCTTTGGAATGGTGTGGGAGTAGGAATGGATTTCCGGGAAGGGCGGGGGGATTGCAGGAACCAGGAGCATCACTCAGGTGACTCCTGAGGACACAGACAAACCTCCAAGTGGCCTCAGTGACTCGGTAAAAGGATGCAAATGACCAGCTGTCTCAAGGAGTATAAATCCTTCCATTCTCCACTGTCCTGTCAGAGCTGAAGAAGCTTCTTGGATGAGAAGCGAAACGTCTTCAAGGAAAAAACCCCCAGAAAGTCTAGTTGCCTCTTGAAATGATGACTGAGATGCTCTGGATGACTGAGATGCTCCACAGACATGATTTTAAGAAGTTTTTCTAGCAGCAGTTTTTAAGCAAATATTGTGGTTCTTATTTAAACCAGTAATTCGGTATCGCGGTAGCTTTACCAAAACTAGAAGTGCTCACATAACCATGGGACATTGCAAACAGCCACAAATGTGGCTGTGGGATTAACTGTTATAACTGTTGCGGCCTGCCAGCGGTCAACGGAGGTGGCGGCAGACTCGGACAGTGAGGAGGTTGGGGAGGAACCTGGGCCAGTCCTGGAGTCTGGGGAAGGCTCGGACGAGGGCTCTGCATTAGAGACAGAGATGGGGCCAGGGTCATTTGAGAGTTATCAACTGCCTTAGGAGGCCGAGATCAGTGGGGAAGAAGAACAGCTGGAGCCTGTTCCCAGTGTGCGCATGTGCAGAGCTGCCAGGAGAAGGGAACAGTTAAGGAACAAGGGCTGACTCGGGAGTAAAAGCACAGATAAATGGCCCTTCCCACAGGGAATAAAAAGGAGTGAAAGGGGAGTGGTGTTTGCAGGAGACAATTAGTTTGTTTAAGTAGTGTGAAGATTTGTTCGTGACTCTCAGAGACTCCTTGCCAAGTATTTTCCGCTACAGCATTGCGCTTGGAAGCTATCGGCCTGGCAGCTTTCCAGCCCTGATAAGGTCTGTGGTTGGAATTCACCCTTGAAAGACTGTTTGCCAAAACTTTGCTGGATGTGAATGAGAGGAATTCACATTATTTTATTAAAAAGGGGTTTTGTCCGGACGAGGAATCTGCTTCGTGATTTTTGTGAAGCCCAGGTCAGAACAATCACTTCAGACCCAGGGCATAAGCCCAATCAGTTGCAACAGTCGCTAAGCTAGTGGTCATAAGTCAAGAACTACCCAGACTGGAGCTTTTGGGTACAGGGGAACCCTCCACCACCTCCCTCATTTAAAAGTGGGGTGCTCAGAAGACGCTTACATTTCTCCTCTGCTGCTCATAGCTGTTCCTCCTCAGGACACTTTTCACATAAGCCAAGGAAACCTTCCATGCCTCCCTCGGCTTTCCAGAATTCTGCGGAAAAGGAGAAAGAAGGAAAAAATAATAATGACCGAAGAATAATTCACACTTCCACTTTTAAACAAGAATTAGATTCTTAATCCAGGGGAGTTCAACTTTTTTTCTTAACAGGAGGCTTTATATAAGAATTCCTTTCGAGGGTAGGCCAGAAACTCCACATTTTTATTTCTTTTCGCATGAAAGTCGAAGACTCTGCAAATATGGTAATTCAGTGGCAATGCTAGAAGATCTCTGGGAATCACATCCAAAATCGGGGAGCTGGGATTTTAGGTACCTTACATCCCGTGTGTGTGTTTTTTTTTATTTACCTCATTCCCTTTCATTTGAGCCAATTCTGGAGTCTCTGGGACGAGGTCGACGAGATCGTCTGTCCTCTGGTCTTCTTCCGGACCCAGCAGAGGCCCAGAGTCCATCCGCCGCTTCCTGTTGACATCAAAACCTTTGGAAAGCAGAGTGACAGCGGGCAGCCCTCCAGGGTTGGCCTCCAAAGGCTCTTTCCTGGCAGGGACCCAGAGATCCAGGCTGGGAACCCTCCAGCGACCCGCCCCCTTGGGCTGATGGGCCTTGGGCCTCTCGTCCTCCTCCTCCTCGGCATCCAAATCCAGGTCTGAATATTCACTGCTGGACTCCGAGGGGCTGGAGCTCCATCGGTGGACACGTCTGCGCCTCGGATGCCGCCTGTTTCCTTCTTTCTTCCTCCTGTACCTCTTTAACACAAAGGAGAGGGCTGCAACACAGAGCAAGGCACCTGGGGGAGGCAGTGTGTGTGTGTGTGTATATGTGTGTGTGTGTGTGTTACCGCAACACCAGCATCACCCTTTCCTTCTAATGGTTGATCACCCTTTCCTTATCCAGTGGTGGATAATCTTTTTGGGCTCCCGTGCCGAAAACCGTGCGCGAAATCCTGCGCACTGCCGCTTCCTGCACATGCACGCCAGGCACCCAACAATCAGCTGTTGAGCAGTGGGGCTCCTCGGGGCGACCCCTCACATGCCGGCAGAAGTGGCTTTTCCGGCAGGGGTGCCATAGATTCCCCACCACGGTTCTAAAGCATCTCACAAGGGCAGAAAGTACAGGGAGTCCTCGAGTTACGACCACCATTGAGCCCCAACCTTTAAGCTGCTGAGTGGAAGTTTTGTTAAGCGAGTTTGTCCATTTTTACCCCCTTTTCTCGTGACCCATGTTACACGCGGGTCATTGCCCGTGTTAAGCTAGTCACACAATTGTTCAGTGCATCTGGCTTCTCGGTTAACCCTTTTTTCAGGGCCGTCGTAGCTTTGACGGGTCACTAAGTGAACTGCTGTAAGTTGAGGACCGCCTGTCGCATTTCTTGGGATATCGTTCCTACCACAGAACCTCTCTTGTTTAGAAGGGCGCAACCAGCCCAGCTTCAGCCCTTGTGTGTCAGACCCAACCCACCGCGTGATGGCATCAAAGCAGCCTTAGATCTGGCGGGACAGGAGGAGTTGGACCTCACCCGTAAAGAGTATTGGCCGCCAGCCCCTGCAGCAGCTAAATCAGAGGAGGAGCAGGAGACATGGGACAGCATCAGGCAATTTGAGAGGGGGAAGAGGGAATGGAGCTGGCAGAGAGAGACGGCGGGGAGCCTGGGCCTCGGATGGAGAGTCAACAGCCCCCAGGTCTGGAGGGGGCTGGTGAGGAAGAGGAGGAACAGCTGGGTCCAGTGCCTGACGCATGGATGCACAAAATGCAGAGGAGAGGAGAGCCGTGGAAATCTATGGGCCGGCCCTTCGGACAGAAGAGCCACTGCTGCTAGCAAAGCCCCGCCCCAGTTCTGGGGATAAAAGGCAGGGGCCAGAGATGAATAAATGTGGCACACAACTATTCTTCTTCCGGCTGGATGGACTTGTTAGCCTGCAGTGGGAGAGAAACTTGGCACTCCTAATAAAGGAATCTTTGAGTTCCCTTCAGAGGGTTTGTCGTGTTTGGGGAGCTGGGTCAGAACCGATAGGCATTCTCAAAAACAAACAAACAAACATGGCATAAGGAAGAGCTGAACTCACTCGATACCCCAGCAGGATTTTCCACTTGCTTAGACACTGAGATCCCGAGCGGTGGGGCAACTCCGAGGCTATTTTTGCCCAGTGGCCTAAAGAGATAACAGATTAACAGATAATCTGTTAATCAGATAGTTGGAAGGGACCTTATAGGTCATCTAGTCCATCCACCCCCCTGCCCAAGAAGGGACCTTATAGGTCATCTAGTCCACACACACCCCCGCCCAAGAAGGGACCCTACACCACTTCTGACAAATGGCAGTCCAATCTCTTCTTGAAGGTCTCAAGTGATGGCGCTCCCACAACTTCTGAGAGAGAACAAAGGAGTCACTTCCTTCCCTGGAACTAAAATAATCTGTAAATACAGGGTAGGCTTTCTTCTTTCTGAGGATTACGCTCCGAAATCATCCTGCCTTTCTTATAGCAAAGAGGCAAAGAAAATTTAGAAGCCATCCAAAATGAATGATGATGTCCATTAAGGCAAGATAAGCATTGATTTTTTTAAAGGGCCTCTGCCTCGTGGATCCTGGGGCAGGACATACAGCCAGCTTTCTGCTATCTGTGCAAGAATCAAAACAATGGGAAGTGCATCAGGTTTAGAATTGAATAGAGCCGGAAGGGACCTTGGAGATCTTCTAGTCCAGCCTCCTGCTCAAGCAGGATATCCTATGCCATTTTAGACAAGTGACTGTCTCTAGATTCTTTTTAAAAACCTCCAGTGATGGAGCACCCACGATTTCTGGTGGCAAGCAGTTCCACTGGTTAATTGTCCTCACAGTCAGGAAGTCTCTCCTTAGTTCTAGGTTGCTTCTCTGCTTGATGAGTTTCCATCCATTGTTTCTTGTCCTGCCCTCTGGTGCTTTGGAGAATAGCTTGACTCCCTCTTCTTTGGGGCAGTCCCTGAGATATTGGAACACTGCTATCATATCTCCCCTAGAGTCCTTCTTTCCTCTAGACTAGCCAAATCCAATTCCTGCAGCCGTTCTTCCTATGTTTTAGTCTCCAGACCTTTGATCCTCTTAGTTGCGCTTCTCTGCACTTGTTCCAAAGTCTCAACATCTTTTTTGTAGTGTGGTGACCAAAATTAGTTGCGGTATTCCAGGTGTGGCCATACTAAGGCTTTATAAAGGGGTACCAATACTTCACGTGATTGACAACCTTCCTTAACAGATTAACAGAGTTGGAAGGGACCTTCTAGGTCACCTAGTCCAACCGCCCCGCCCAAGCAGGAGACCCTACACCATTTCACAATCGGATGGCAGTCCAGTCTGTCCTCTGTGAGCACATGGGAAGCCACTAATACCCCTTGTAGAAATAACAGGACACCTCGAGGGCCCATTGAACACCCCCCGCCTCAACAGAGCAAGTGCACAGGCCCCAGGCCTCCCCGCCATCTTGGTCAGAAGTCGCCCCCTCACCCCCCGCTTACCCCTGCCGTATTTTTCGGTCAGCTCAATGAGTTTCTTCTCCTCCTCTTGGCTCCATTTCCCCTTCTTTATGTCGTAGTGTAAGGAGTGCAAGTACCTGCAATCATAGGTGGAGAGGAAAGATATTACACGCTGCTGGATAATGGGGACCCTTTGGACACACAGGGAGTCCTCGAACGGCAACCATTCATATAGCGGCCGTCCGAAGTTACAACGGCACTGAAAAAAAGCGACTTAGGACCAGTTTTCACACTTACGACCGTTGCGATATCCCCATGGTCAGGGATTTACATTCGGATGCTTAACAACTCATTCACATTTAGCCCCCTTTGCCACCTTCTGACAAGCAAAGTCAACGGGGAAGCCAGATACGCATAACAACTCTGTTACTAACAACTGCAGTGGTTCATTTAATAAAAGTCAGAAAAATTCTCCCTATTTCCGGGTTGAATCTCTCCTTGTTCAGTTTCCATCCATTAATCCTTGTCTGGCCTTTGGGGGCTTTGGAGAATAGCTTGACCCTCTCCTCCTCTCTGTGGCAGCCCCTCAAATGTTGGAAGTCTGCTATCATGTCTCCCCTGGTCCTTTTCTTCCCTAGACCAGCCAGGCCTAGTTCCTGCAACTGTTCATCGTATGTTTGAGCCTCCAGTCCCCTCATCATCCTGGTTGCTCTTCTCTGCACTCTTTCTAGAGTCTCAACATTTTTTTAATAGTGTGGTGACCAAAACTGGATGCAGTACGCTAGGTGTGGCCTTACTAAGGCTTTATAGAGTAGTGTTAGTACCTCATTTGATCTTGATTGTATCCCTCTGTTAATGCAATTTAGGATTGCATTAGCTTTTTTGGCTGCTGCTGCACAGGGTTGGCTCCTATTTAGCTGGTTGTCCACTAAGACTCCAAGATCCCTCTCCCAGTTCCTGCTATTGAGCCTGGTTTCACCCGGTCTATATGTATCCTTGTGGTTTTTCTTGCCTAGGTGTAGGACTTTACTTTTCTCTACCTTGAATTTCATTTTGTTAGAAAGGGCCCAGTGTTCTAGTCTGTCAAGATCCATCTGGATCTTGAGCCTATCTTCTAGGATGTTGGTTATTCCTGCCAGTTTAGTATCATCTGCAAATTTTGGAAGTTCCCCTTCTATTCCCTCATCTAAATCATTTATGAAGACATTGAAGAGTCCTGGGCCTAAGATGGAACCTTGTGGCACCCCACTGCTTACTTCCCTCTATGTAGATGTAGTATCATTAAGGACTACACATTGAGCACTGTCTGTCAGACGGTTACGAATCCATCTGGTGGTGATGCAGTCTATCCCACTTTTTTCTAGCTTCCCAAGAAGTAGGTGGTGGTCTATTTTGTCGAATGCCTTGATGAAGTCTAAGTATGTTATGTCCACAGTATTTCCATGGTCTGCTAATTTAACACAGGGCAGGCAGAGACAGGCCTGCTCTAAGTAGCAACCCTCCAATTCAAACAGCCAACGTGCTGAGCTGGGACCTACCTGTCTCGGCACTGCAGGTCGTTCCTGCCGGGCACCTCCGCCCGGATCTTATACCAGTCTCGCTCTCCGTACTTGGCCACGGCCTTCAGGAGCAACTGGAAGGGACAAGCCAAAAGGGGGTCAGGTGAATATGTGCTGTTGGTGGAGGGAAGAGGGGTGTGCCTGCCCTCTTTCAAGAAGCAGCAACAGAGGGAATCAAGAAAAGGGATGTTGGAAGTTACGATTCCCCTCCCTTCTAGGAAAACAGCCCCCACCCTTTGTCAAATAGGGCTATTCAAATAGCTGGAGCCAGCTTACTTTTCACAACAAAGGAAGGAGAAAATTTAAAGGCATGGGGTACATAGAAAAAAACCCCTACAAACTAGCTAAGATCCTTTCCCATAGAAATCAAATAGATGGCAAGTTATAAAAACTTTTAACCAAAAGGCACGGCAGGAAGGAACCACGATAGCAAACAAGCAACTACAAAGGATCAGGACCATAAAACCAAGATCCCAGGAAAAGATCCCAACCTCAAAGAGACAGGAATTCAACGCACACAAATCAAAGACTTCACTTCCAAATCAAAGGACCTGAAAAAGGATAAGAAAGGGGTTCGTTTTCTTACCCCCTTATTAGATTAATCCTAGGAACGCTGTGAGATTTCTTTTTACCTGCCTTCCTATTAATAAACTGATTCTGACTTCCAAGCAGCTGACCAAATCATTTTGCATTAAAATCTCCCAGCCGGGAAACTTGAATCTGCAAAAGGAAAGAACTTTGCCTATTCCTTAAAGGGACAGGCTTCTTTTTTTCCCTTTCCTCAGGGAGCATGGGCAAAAATACACAGTTGTCTAGAAAAAATAATAGGGAAACATGTAGATTTTCAACCTGAACTGTTTTTATGAGGGATGATATCAAAAAAAATTGGATAAGAAAAGTATTTGTTTAGTACGACATGCCTTAACAGCAACGAGGACTTTCTTCGCACCATATTTATTGGAAAGATGAAGAAATGCCTCAAGGTGAAGAGATAGTTAAGAAGATACTAGAACTGTTCAGAAAATGGACAGACTGACATCGAAAATCAAACAGAAAGAAAACACAGAATATTATCAAACATGGAACATATTTTACCAGTGGTTGGAAACGAAGGGGTGGGGAGTAAGAATGGCACCTGTATTGTTAAGCAAATTAAACACCCAGACAACACAATGTTTATTAAGCACTAAGAAACGTAATTAAGAGAAAACTGATAAAATTTATTAGAAAAAAAGAAAAAAGGGAGCTGGTGGAGACGCCCACATGGTCCCCCGGAGCAGTTTCCCCAAAGAAGTTCGCCGAGAGATGTTTGTTGAGCCTCCCTGTGGAAAAGGCCCCTTACTTACAGCATCCTCTTTGGGTGTCCAGGCGCCTCGCTTTAAGTTGGGGTCCACTCGCTTGGTCCATCGGTAGATCAGCTGGGCAGAGTCCCTCCCCTCCATGTAGTACGCCACTGTGGAACAGGCAACACTTGCACTCAGCGCTTTGCTGGACCAGAACATCCCTATGGCTTGATCGTCGCTTATGCGCAGCACCAGAGAGGCTGCTCTGACCCCTCCTGCAGAAGAGGGCATCCTCGCATTACCTGAGCCAGGTGCCTCTCACGATCAGCTACTTCAACATCTCAAGCCTCTTTGGCTCTCAAATACCAACCGGAGGCATTTGGGAAGGAGTCATACAAGAACCTAGACCAGCATTTCCCAACTTTGGCCACGGTACGATGTGTGGACTTCAGCTCCCAGAATTCCCCAGGTAGCCATGTTGGGTTGGGGAATTCTGGGAACTGGAAGCCCACTGTCAGATCCGCGTATCTGTCATTTCTTCAATGGAAGAAGAAAGGGGGGAGGGGAGGGGGAGACTGATAAAGAAATCCTTTCTTGATGTAACCTGAATATATTTAATCTTATATGGAATTTGTATAACCTACACATGATACAATGGAGGGATGAAACCCAGATGGCCGGAACCTATCGCCTCTGAGAGAGACAGCCAGGAGATGAAAAGACCATAAAAATTCCACAGTGAGACGTGTCCTGGGAAACTCTGGAAAAGATCGTTCTAAAAAGGGGATGGGGGGAATTAACATGTTGGCTCTTTGTTTTACTAAATACACATTAAGATAAGGGGAGGGGTTTTAAACTCCCTTATCTATCTCTGCATGCCTGAGAGACCTTAGACGCTGCTTTTAACCCCTACATGAATTGTCTCATCTCAGTAAAGGATTCCTTTTTGATACGTTTCAGAAGTTCATTCTAGTTGATTGAATGGGAAAAGTTCTGTAGCCTGACACCCACACATCTTCAAGAGGTCAAGGTTGAGAAATGCTGAATTAGACAGAGGCCACTGATGACTTGACCAATCAAGACAAAAACACTTTGGCACCAGCAGCAAAAGCAGTACTACCTCCATAACCAAAGGACACACAGTTCCAGAAAGCCAGTGAATCCATACTGGGAAACTGAGGAAGCCTACATTGACCCACAGGTCACGAGAGCCAAGAAACAGGTCCTAGATGTGCTCAAGAGGGCTGCTCACCCTCTGGTTGAAGGAAGACAAGACCAGGGAGGGAGCCCTCATATGCTGGCTCAGCACAACAGCTTCCATTAGAAAGGTGGGGGGAGGGAAAGATTGGAATGTGCATTCCAGATGATAACAAGAAATGGTCTCATGGGAACCAAGGACATTTCAGCAGGTGTCTGCCAGAGTCGTGGAGATTTTCCTATAACAACACTTTGCTTTCAACAATGCTTTCATGCTGTGCCAAAATGACGTACTCAATAAAGTTTTGCATTTAAGAGATCGGATCGTTTCGACAGTGCTTGTTTGTTTGGGTTTATCAGTCGGAACCTTAACAGCGGGTGCTATAATCACGACACTCCCCACCCGCCCCCAGGAGGTAGCTTACTTTTCCGGTAGGGAATGTGATTCCCAATGCGCATTTCCTGCACGAGCTGCCTAAGCATCTGGTCTTCTTCGGGGCTCCATTCGCTCCGTTTGAAATCTTTGTTGTGGGACTGGAACTTCTGGAGGCACTGAAAGGCTGTGCGCTGCGTCTGGGGAGGGAGAAACAGCAATTGGGTGGGGGGGAATAGCAGGCCAGAAGGGGTGGGGCAGAAATGGGGAAGGCAGAAGGTCAGAGCTGCTGCATGGACGACCCACGTGTGTGTTGAGGTATAAGATTTAATAGCTGCCAGCTGTTGTAAGTCTGGTGCAATGTAAGGCTGGTGTAATATAAGGATGATGCAATAAGGATGAATTAGCATAGCATGGATATTGCCCTTTTAAGACAAACAATGGGCTCCCAGAAGTCTTTATCCCTTTAAGAATTGTTTATATAAGGCTGATCTTATGTAGGGAGTATTCTCTCTCCTTGTGTCCTGTATCCATTGCAGAGTTCTCTGTGTAGAGTTAAGAGTGATTGCTTGTAAGGTATTTGCCTACCATATATATATTTCTGTATATGTCTTATAGATAAACCACTGTTAAATGTCTAGATATCTGTCTGCTGTGTTTTGCTCCTGGGCTGTCTCACAATAGCAGTCATGCTGCAAACGCTCTGACAGCGTGCATTTATTTCATCGATTCTACGGACACCCAAGGGATAAGGAACGGTGGTAGAATCACCAGCTAGAGTAGAGGTGGGAGTTAAGAGGGGGCATAGCTTGGAATCTCTCTGTGGGAGGAAGCAACAGAGGACAGACTCCTGAATCTTTTATCTGTCTGTTGGCAAGAGAATGCAGTTAGTCTGGCCCAGGGGTCTTCACACTTGACAGCTTTAAGACTGGTGGACTTCAACTCCCAGAATTCCTCCTCCAGCCATGTTAGCTCAGGAATTCTGGGAGTTGAACTCCACAAGTCTTAAACTTGCCAAGTTTGAAGACCCTTGGTCTAGCCAGATTCTTGCAAGCAGGTGATCAATAATAATCCTCAACTTAGTGACTGTTCAAAGTACAACGGCACTGAAGCAAGTGACTTATGGCTGTTTTTCAAACTTACAACTGTCACGGCATCTGCTTGGTCACATGATCAAAATTCAGGTGTTTGGCAACTGGCATGTATTTATATCCTGGGGTTACGCGATCCCCTTTTCCAACCTCCTGACAAGCAAAGACGAAGCCAGGTTCACTTAACAACCAGGTTACTAACTTAACAATCAACCGCATTCACTTCACAACTGAAGCAAGAGAGAGGCAAAACTCACTTAACAACAGTCTCACTTAACAACAGAAATTCTACCAACTGCACCGGTTTGTGATTCTTTCCGAGCGCCACAGCTATCCCTGGCCATCTAAAATGCCTACAAAATTCTCCAGCTTTATGAAATGGGCGATTTTAATGCTGCCTTGGACATTTGTCCTTTACACACGCACACACACACTAACATTCCAGCCAGAGGTTCTACCACATCCTGGCTAGACTCGCTGACCTTACCCCCAGCTCTTGGGCGATGGCTTCCCAGTGCAGACCGCCATGCTGGACAGCAATTTCCTTCAATTTCTCAATCTCCTCCTCGCTCCACTCCTTCTTGTTGATGTTAGGATGCTCATAATTTTGCCAGTATTTCCTCAGCTCATTTGCGTTGCGTGTTCCTTCAAACTAGAGAGGGTGCAAGTCAGAATAAACGGCCGCAACTTCAGCAGGTTGGGGTTTTTTAAAAATATATATATATATAAACAAAGAAACACAGGGGAAATTTCATTTCCAGGCACAGTTCCCTCCGTTGCTCCCGCAGAAGTTTTTAGAGGTGCCAGGCAGAGGGACCGGGGTGGACTCACGTTGATGTTGGCAATCTTGTCCCAGTCGTGTTCATCGTGTCTGTTTCCCAGTAGTGTTTCTTCTGGCAACATGCTAGATCCGGAAGAAGCAGAACGGCAGTTAGAAAAGCGTTTGTGCTGTTCTTTAAGCAGCTGCACAGGAGAAGGCAGAGTTTCCAGTCATCTCCCCTTCTCGGTTTAAATGTGGCGGCACGAGTTTCAAATCAGTTTTGCTTATTAACATACAGATGACTTACATGACTTACAGTAGCTTAGATACTAGTCAAAGTTACAACCTACTACCAGACCCCTAGAGTGATACTGCAACTCAACTAGGGAAAGGGGGGAAGGGACTCTGAATGTATTTCTTTAATTTTACTTTGACAACTGTTGTTGAATAGAATAGAATAGAATAGAATAGAATAGAATAGAATAGAATAGA